AACCAGATCTGCAATTTTGTATTTAAGCTTATACCTTGAATATTATAATTTATGATTTTTATCACCTTATCCTTTATTTTTTTTACTTTTATGTATAAGTAAGGGTTTTAATTATGTTGTCGGGCTTAGGTGAAAGAAGTTTGAAAGAAGGGAGAGGTGGTCATGACGGGTGGCAAGGTCCACTATTGAGAGCTGGGTCATATCCAATTGCAGGAGGGTCCAGAAGGAGGAAAATCTTGCTATAGCAGGTCGAACATAGGTGCCAAGTTGGTAACCGGGTTAGTTGTAACTTGTAATTTAGGGGAATAGGTAAGGCATTTGTTGTTTAGAGATAGTTTTCATACACTATCTGCTGACTTGTTTGGAGTTTATCACTTACTGGATCTCATCGTAAATCCTAGTTGCAAAATTTTACATATTCTAGATGAGTTGTACAAAGCTTAATAAAGTTATAGCATGACTGCCGAATTATTAAAAAAAAAAAAAAAAATTAAGTTTATTTTATCAAAGCTTGATTATTGAACAATTTGCGAATTTATTTAAATAATGGTGATCTGATTTATTTTAAAACATATACTTATTAACTAAATATTCGTTTGATTTATCAAAACGTGGAATTATATGAACATGATTTTTAATTGTCTCAATATCTACAATGTTATTTATTTGAGTTGATTTTAGTTTAAAACATCCACAATAATATGGCTCCTTTTTAGACATAAAATCATACCACCAGATAAATATAAGATTATGTGATTCTCCTTTGGTATTTTCAACTTTGAATAATAAATATATTTAAAATTAAAAATTAAAAATTTAATATTTTAAAAATTTTAAAAAAAATAAAAATACAACAAATACCTGCCTATAGCAAATTCCTTTATCTATCAAATATTCTAATTGTTCTTCAGAATTCATAGCAATTGCTACATTACTATACCAGGCTTTGCCATAAAAATCTTCTGTTGCTTTAATTATAGATACATTTTCTAAAGTTACAGAGCTATATATTTTAATTATATAACTGTTCATGTTTGTTGAACTAAAATATTTATTTAAATAATATAATAAATATTTAAGCCCATAATGTATATTAAAATCTGGTCTACAATTATTTAATTTGTTATTAATAAATTTTTGAGCATTATTTAAACCAAATGTCCAAATTAAATTAGTAAATTTAAAAGAAATAATAGTTTTAGCATTTTTTAGATTGCCTCTTAATAAATTTGAAGCAACAGCCTGTTTGTGAACTTATTCAATATAAATATAATTAGTTAACTTTTATAAAAATATTATAAACATTATTAAAAAATTTAATAATTATTACCATTTTTGGCCAATTTTTTGGAAAAACTTTTTCTGGTTCACCTCTGAAAATCATTTTCAATAATAAAAAATAGCAGAAAAGTAAAATTAAATAAGTATAGTTTAACCGTTATGAATACCTGGGTGCATTGAGAAGGCCCCAGTAAAACCAGCACTTGGTTAGAGGCTAAAAAAGTGACAAAAACAAGGGATAGGAGAACTAACTTCACATCGCTGCCCTTTCAAGGGCAACCTAATAAAAGAAGAATGAATAAAGCACAACCTATGGAAATCTTTAATACGGAGTCTGAATAGCCAATTAACAATAGGAAGGACTCTTCAGAAAGTAATAATAGAAAGAAACCCAAGTACCACCATACTAATCAGGCTGAAGAAACTGTTTCTACAGAGGAAACTTTGCTTCAAATGATGGAAACCACAAACCCAGAACTGAATCAAGCAATACTCATGGACGCAGAAAGAATTTTCATACCAAACAGTGGCTCTGAGTTCTCACAGGACAATCTGTACAACAATACAGACAAATCGATTGACATTGCAGCTATAAAGGACCAACTAAAATCACCAGAAATAGATATAGACTCAACAGAACAAATGGATACAGAACCAAACCAGGATGGAAGGATACTAACTGAATAGCCAATAGCAGAAGAGGACAAGACATCAGAGAGGTGTGAAAAAACAAGTGACGAAGAGAAGGTGATACCATCTTATAAACAAATACTAATAAATACCACCTATGCTAATGACTCCTCATGGAACTTAGAACAAAATGGTCGAAAGTTATGATAAAGTTCACGCATAGCAACAAGAAGAATGTTGTAACGCTTATACCTGGGATAACAAAGCAATCAGTGAAGCAACTCACAAACTAGAGTCCTTCAAAAAGTTCTTGCATCACAAATATACAACAATTTTAACAGAAAGTGAAATTCCTCATATAATTAAAATCAAAATTAAACATATGGACAAATTCTTCTTTCGCACCTTTACACGGAATCATGAAGCAAAACCAGCACATTAGTTGGAATTCGATCAATTATTCTATATGGCACAGGATAGATATAAAGCATAACACAATGTATTTCAAATTAATAAAACTAATCGTAACTAAATATTCCAAATGCTAAAAATGAAGTTGAGCTTCGACTTCCTATGGAATTATGATATGCTACAATGACAATACCTATATGCTACAGTATATTATTATTTAAGGTTCACAAATATACAACATAAACTTAAATTCGAAGAAGTAAGAAAGAAGATAGAAGAAATAGAAGCAAATATGCATTTAGAACTGCCAAAATTCCCTGAAAGTATACTATAAGAAATCTATAATGTGATCCTATTTGACCTGCCAATCACTGATAGAAGACTGATGAAGCCCACAATCCAAGCTCTGAGAAAGGTTTTTAACTTTGAAATACTACCAGAATCATACTTTGATGAACAAAGAAAGCAACTTCTGGAGAACTCAAAAGAATTGATACCAGCAGTAGCCCAATATATTCTAATTACAGAACGAGTGAAGCTAGTGAACTTGAGAGAATATAGAAGAATTCTAAATAGATATTATGTTCTGGATAAGAAGTTACCTGAAGCATACTTCAACCTTCCTCCTTCTAAACCAAACCTACCAGCAACCTCACAAGAACTAAATAAAAAAATCAAATACATGTTTCCATTCTACCCATACAATCAAGACCACTTTAGGAAATATGTAAATATATTAAGAAAGTACTACACATTTAAAAGAGTACCCAACAACTTTATCATAGCAAAAAGAAGACTTCCACAAAACCCCAAGAACTTATACTTAAAAACAACATTCACTTTTCCAATCAACAGTAAAGAAAAAGCACTTAATTTCATTCAAGAGATACCAAAGGAATATAATATACCTTCTGCATTCACACCAGAATACATGAGCGTAAATCCCACAGAGAAACCTAACCTTCTCCAAGACTATAAAGAAATAGAAGGATTCAAAATAATTATTCCAATGACCTCTATAGAACAAGTAGCAGATACAGCAAGAAAATTAAGGACCAAATATTACTTCTACAGAATATCAGAAAACTGGATCGAAATTGAAGAAACATATAGTAACTTACTATACAATATTAACAACTTACCAAACACTATTGAAGAATTAAAAGCAGAAGTGGAAAAAAAACAGTTAGAGCTAGTTAATACAATACCTGTAGTAAGACACGATGAAACAGAAGCAGTTATGAAATATTTAATTTAGAACTTCGAGATAAATAGTCTCCCAAACTTCATCAATAAGTTACCTGACCTTCCAGAACCCAGATAGAACATCTTTTAATTGAATAATAATGATATCAGAACAAAGACAGAACAATAAAACATCACAACAAAAAACTAACAACACAACTAAAATTAATAAGATAAAGGATAAGGTGATAAAAATCATAAATTATAATATTCAAGGTATAAGCTTAAATACAAAATTGCAGATCTGGTT